GGGGGGGGGGGGCTGGCTGGGGCTGGGGCTTCAGCAGGACAGGGGGCTCCAATTTCCTGCACCCAAACGGCCCCTCGGTCTGCAGGGTACGGTCTACAGCTAGTCCCACTTAACAACCGCCCTGCTTAGCAACTCTTCCGAGGGTGGTGAAAATGGACAAGTAGCGCGGGTGGCTATGAAGGCTCCCAGGCGGCCCCAATCACAAGGCGTAACGGCGCGATGCCTCGCTTAGCGATGGAGCCGCCGGTCCCACCTGTGGCTAAGCGAGGGCTGTCTCTACTTGTGGGTGACGCCTGGGAGCAGCGGCTCTTCCTCTCCGGGCACGGAGGCCGAAGGGGGCAGCCGCTGGCCCCTTCCTCTGTCCGGCTGGAGAGCCCTGGCTACCATCCCCTCCCTCCTCTCACCTGTTTTGGGACTGGCCCGGCGTGGGGCGGCCTCTCACCTTGCCGGTCCACCGTGTGCTGGGGGTGGCCGTGGTAGAGCGTCTGCTGGCTCTGCCGGATGGCGGCCGTGAGGGGCAGGTCGGCCTGCATCACCCACTCCTGGTTCCCGTTCAGCACCGTCTCGCCAGGCATGGCCAGCGAGTGCCGCTTGGGGACGTCCTTGGTCAGGGTGGCTAAGGATTGCTTGGCCTGCGCGGGAGGAGAGGGCAGCAGGACAGCCTCACTGCCTGGCACAGCCGGACAGCCCCAGGGTTGCAGGGACCCCCCCCCCCACGTTTGCCCCACAACCCCCAGAACAGGCCTGCAGCCCACCAGCCTCTCCCAAGGCGGCTCTGGCAAATCCATGTCACTTTAACCTGGTTGGTTTAATCCCAGTTTGGCTCATCCCCCCTCCCCTCCCCCCACGGCCGGCACCCTCGGAGTCCTAGAGAAAAGCCCTGGGGGGGGGGGTTGGAAGCAGAGCCCTGGGGCTTCCGAGAGGAAGGGCTGGACTAAATGGCCTCAAGGAGCCCTTCCAAGAACCCCTGCGGGTGGGGGCCACCTCCAGAGAGGCTCAGCAGGGGAAGGGGCCTGGGGGGGGCAGGGAAGCTCACCATGGCCAGCTCGGCCTCCAGCTCCTTCATGCGGTTGTCCTTCAGGTCCAGCTGCGAGCGGAGGGCGCTGGCGTGGTCGGTGGCCTCCTTGGCCTGCCGCCGCAGCTCCCACTTCTCCCGCTCCAGGAGGTCTTTCTCTTTGGCCAGGGCCTTCACTGCGTCCTCACTCTCCTTGGGGGGGGCAAGGAGGGGGGGGGCTTAGGACATTTGAATGCACCACTGGGGGTGGGGGGGCTCAAACACTGAGCGCTTCTCCGTGGGCCTGGGGGTGCCCCTCTGAGGCACAGTGCAGGACTCTCCCCAGAGAGCTTCCCATCAGGCAGACCCCCCACCCTCAACCAACGCCCCACTTTAGCCCCTCCTCCATCCCAGGGATGGGGGGGGGGGCTGAGAGAGGCCCCCATGAGGCGCAGGGGTGGGATTTTACGGGGAGACCCCACAAGGCTCTGGGCGGCAGAGCAGGTCCAGCCCCCCCCTCCTGCCCCCCCTCCCCTGCCCCCCC